GAGTAATACTGCTAGCCATGATAACCATGAGAAAATCAACTGTTGGGTTTCCTTTTCTTTCCTATATGAGTATGGGGCTCCGCTTGGCAGCCCTTCGGGCTGCTGGAGCTCCGCTAATATCATATGGCTAGCTTTGCCAAAGTGAACCAAATTTGGCACTCATGGACACAAGGAGATACTTGGGCATGCTCCCAACCATATACAAACACTCAATTTTTAACCGCCAAAAGTCAGCGCCTCCTTACAGGTCCCTACAGTGAGTGGTCTCAAGGATGGTAGCCATTGTATTACACTGTATGTGTAGTTTACCTACATTGCAGTCAGGCCTCGAGACTAACAGTAGCCAACTAGCCTCAGACTAGTAAAAATTCCATTTTGGCTAGTGGTTTTTGCGCTTCACTAGCCATTTTGGCTAGTGAAAATGAAAATTTGTGAGCACTGCAGGCCCAGAGGAAACCACTTAAAAGTTACTTTCAAATTTTTTACAAAACGAAATCGAGTCAAAGGCTGCAGAATTTAAAAAATCGGCTGTACTAAATGTCATATAATTTATTAGCCCAAACAAGAACTTTAAATTACTAAAATGTGTAAGAATGATTGACTTTTTTTGTTTGTTTTTTCCCTTAGTAAAAAGCAACGAATGACAAACATAAAATGAACTGCTTGCCGCTAATGATAAGTCATGCATGAAATCATGCGGAACTCTAGGGATCATGTTTCATGCGCGCATCATCTGGAGGTCATGTATGCTTTCAAAAAAGTAAAAAATTCGCAGTTATTCGAAAATTTGAATGGTGCCTATATAATATTGATGGCTATGTTTGTAAATAAAGTTAAGATGGAATGAATTGTTGTGTTCATGAGAAATCGTTAATTGGCATTTTGAAAGAAAGGAATGATTTTCGGCAGTGAGTTGCGAAGTTCTCTGGGAATTTCTCATGGGAGTGAAAACTTCGGTTTTCATTGTTGAGCGATGCCTATAATTATTATAACATCGTGGCCTATGTTTGCAAATGTCTGCATCTGGCTAGCGAAAAATTTGTTTTGGTTAGTGAAGCAAACCAGTCACTAGCCACTGGGCTAGCAAGCTGAAAAGTTAGTCTCAAGCCCTGGCAGTGGGGTATATTAAACATACTTTTAAATCATTCTGTGTTTTTTAAATGCCTGTTGTGTAGAAGGAGATTGTTGAGTTATCAGATGGAGATGACTCTGAACCTGTGTCTGGTCCTGAAGTGGAGGATGATAATGAAGTCGTTGGTGAAAAGAATGGCACTTCAAAACAAAGAACTAAGATTAAAATGGTTTTTAAACCAAAATCAAAGGGAGCTAAAGGTTAGTTTGATGGCTAATTCCTCTCTTTCTTTTTTGCTTAATTGTACATCCCTGTTTTATGAAACTGTATATTTATCCAGTCAACATTTCACATTTGAATGGAGGTTCATTGTCAGTTTTGATTGCCTCACTGAGAAGGGGTATGTTTGAATGAAGTAATAGGTAATAAAGAATTGGTTCATGCGTGCATGCGTATATGGATCTATGGATGCATGTGGCAAGCTTGGAGAGCATGGGGGAAGCATAAGAGTCGCTCAAGGTGTGGCAGAGAGCAACTCTAGCTTGAGTGCTCTCCAAACTTCCCAAGTGCATCCATAACTCGATTAATATGCACAGCTAAAACCATGAACCAATTCTTTTATAACATAAGGACAACAACTTGTGTGCGAGAACACCTTTTATTTGTGATTGACTGCAAAGATCTCACAATGCACAGTGAAGGAAAACAAAGGATCCTATTGCGTGGTTAAAAACGCTGAGCCATCAGTTGAGTGACAGTTGAAGGAAAACACTTCATCTGGTTCCTAAAATTGTCAATGAAAAATTCACTTCTTCAAATTAATGAAAATAAGAAAACAAAGTCAAGACCACTCAATAAAAATGTAGACAAACAAAGTCAAAATACTCAAGTTTTAGTAAACATCTTAGCTTGGCAAAAGTCAAAGGCTTGAAGTTGGGTTTGGATCATTTAGAATGATGTTTACATTGCTGAAACTTGCAGCTAAACTCAACAAAAATTTTGCACCTAAAGTGAAACTGCACCCGTCATGTTTACGTATAAATAGAGATTTTTACTGTAGTTCAATAGCTCGATATTTACAAAAATTTATTGATTTACATTAGTTGCTTTGCACTCTTTACTTTCCTTAACACCCTGTTTCCAGTACAGTTTGAGTTGTGAATTGTTATTTACAGTGCTTGTCAATACTTTCCCAACTTAGACTGAAAACCTAGTCCTAGTTAGATACTTAGAAGTAATTTGAGGGGGATTTGTATCATAGGAGACAAAAAAGCAAAAATCCAGGATGATGACAGTGACCGAGGAAGTGAGGCCAGCTCAGGTAGCAGATCAAAAAGGACTAATGGCAGAGCAAGTGGTAAAGCTAAGGCTAACAAGAAAAAGACTGATGAGGCAGTTGATGAAGACAGTGATACAAGCCAAGCTAGCGGAAAACCCATCAAGAAAAAGGCAAGAAGCACACTGAAAATGAAAAAGGAAAAGGTTATCATCAGCAAAAAGAAGAAAGAAAGGAAGAAAAGTACTGGTAAGACTCTTAGATGAAGCTGTACTCAATTGACTTTTAATTGAGCATCTTTTACTTGTGGTGCCATTTTAACTGTTTGATCTTTTTTTTGTAGGGAATGATGAAGATAACGTTATGAGTGTGGTAAGTCTTATTAACACTGTGCATTTTCTCATGTGGAGTACCCTGAAATGAAGGAGTAGTATCCCTTCATTGGGGGTATAAATGTTCAAATTCCTGTAGTTTCTAAATGCTACTGAAGCTGCCTTAAGAACTCTTATTAGCTGTATGAACTGGTTGGCTTATTATAGTAATAATATAAGTTTTGCGCTGTAGCCTGAATAATTAGGAATCAGATTGTAAAAATTAATTAAGAGCCTAGGGAATCGGCAGTCGTTAAATGCTTGCAGGTAGTTTTGCTGATGAAAAGTTTGCAAACATCAGTAGGTCAGGTGGAAAAGTAGTCACTCTACCAAGAAATAGTGCTTTTACTCTCAGTAGTAATACTAGAGTTTGAGTCTGGTAGACTTTCTTTATAACAATCTGATCTCTTATCTTGTACATCAATTCAAAATATTAGCGAACTGGCCATTAGAGAAGCAGCTTGTAGGCAAAACAAATGGTTATCAGCCAAGGGATAAGAATTTTTGACCACAGAAAATTGTGCAGTTAATTGAAAGTGGAAAATAGTTGTTTTGGATAATTGGCATTTGAATGTAATGAAATTTACTATGTACTGTACCAGATGATGTTTAATGCATACCCCTCACTGAATGTTGTAAAAATAAGTACTGTTAACTAATTGTTAAGGAGTTCAGAGCATGTTTTGCATTGGTGATGATAGATTCCATGTTAATTGTTCCATGTTAGGATGAACATCAGGATTACTGTGAGGAATGTGAAGAGGGTGGAGACCTGTTACTCTGTGATACATGCACACTGTCATTTCACTTGAGATGTCTTGATCCTCCACTTGATGAGCCACCACAGGGACGTTGGAGTTGTCCTGTCTGTGTAAGTGAATGACTCTGCAAATCTATAATAACAAACTTTGCTTTCAATGAGTTTTTGAGGAGCTAAAAGAGACAACATACAATCTTCCCACCATTAATCCTCCATTTTGTTAGACCTACTGTATAAAAGTCCTCTGTACTGCAAATTTTAAAAAGTTTGAAGAAATTCTTTCCTTTGGTTTGCTTCACCTGGCCATTTCATTTTTATGTTAATTGGCTTGTTTAAGCCTTATTTTATGGTGTGCTGACTTAGGAAAATTATCTCTTGCAGGAAGATGAAATGACAAGCGATTCTAGTGAAGACATGCACAGCGATTATTGCCGCGTGTGTAAAGATGGCGGACAATTGCTTTGTTGTGACAGCTGTCCATCAGCTTATCACTTGCACTGCTTGATTCCACCCATGAAAAAAATACCTGGTGGAGACTGGAGGTGTCCAAGATGCAAGGTAATCAGAGCAGTCACTGTTTGCTGTGGTTGCCTAATTGCTTCTAGTAGAATTCTACTGGTATACTAATGCAAATGCTGTAATCTGATTGGCTGAGCCATTGAACACTATCAGCCATTAGCGTGCAGTGGCTTGAGGTCATCTATGAAATGACAATGTTTTTTTTGTTTTTCTGAAGTTTTGCAGGAAAATTTTGATGCAAATGGATAATTAAATTCCCAAGAAGTCTAAATGAAGGACATTTATGGTTTCTTGACTTTTGAAAAAGTTGAAATTATTGAAAAAACTAATGCGCACCCGCACACAACTTCAATTTAAATGACAAGTCAATCAAAGCGATCTCTTTCAGGGCAAAGTCTAATAATATGTCAAGAAATAATTGGAACCATTACTTGAAGTAAATTTTAGTAAGAATTCTACTAAAACAATTAGATTATTCGCTCTCGATTTCTATAATGTGATAGTTGATTCGGCCTTCAACATCATCAACTATCACCTCATAGAAATCTTGACCTCGTAATCTAATTGTTAATTAGTAGAATGTTAAATTTTCTTAGTATAATGCAAATTCTGCAATCTGATTGTCCAAGCTATTGTACACTTGTACTCTTATACATAGTGAAAATGTTGATCTAATTTAATTCAAATTATGTTTTTCCTCGTAGAGTGAACCACTAAAAGGCAAAGTTGAGAGAATTCTCCACTGGCGTTATGTTAACCTTCCAGTTGAAGGTAGTACATTGTTACATTTTTTCAGTCCAGTATCGAAACCTTAATTTTTAACTTGGGAATATTTGTCAATGTATCCAATTTGTTTAAGGTACTGTGCTTGATGCAGATGGGAACGAAGAGCTAACTGAACCTGAGGTGTGTATATTTTATGGCAGTAAAGAGATCAAGTATTATTCAGTTGCAGTTAATATTCTTTCCAGATTGTTTTGTGGCACAAGTGGTGATAAATTACAATTTTAGGTTTTTATTTTTAATGTACGTTAACTTTTTTTCAGACCTATGAAACAAGGGAATTCTTTGTCAAATGGGTGGACATGTCTTACTGGAATTGTTCATGGATAACTGAACTTCAGGTATATGTTTGAGTTTACTAGTAACAGGGATTTTTGAGATCCTTTGAGATCAAAGAGAAAAAGAGAAGGCAACCATCCTTAGTTAACAATACCGTAAATCCTCGAATTAGCACCTCCCTCAAATAAGTACTCCCTTCAAATAAGCACCCCTACTATCAGCCGAAATTTAAAATAAGCAGCCCCTCGAATAAGCGCCCCCTTCCCCATCTAGCCTAGATGGTTCATTGAACTGACATGTTATTTTATTGTTGTGAATGTGTAGCTGGAGATTTACCACCCCAGCATGTACCGAGCATACTTCCGTAAGAATGACATGGAAGAACCTCCTCCAGTTGATGATGGTGACGAAGACAAGGAGACACCAGCACATGTTATACAAAACAGTAAGGCAGAGGATGAGAGTAACCTGGAGGCAAGGTTTTACAGATATGGAGTGCGACCAGAGTGGCTACAGATTCATCGCATCTTGAGACATAGGTCAGAAACCTATATAGAGCATGTGTGTTACTCTGTGCTGCATTATCTGGTGATGAGAAAAGGGAGGTTTTACATAATATTTTATTGTCAACTCAAAGTGCAACAACAGGGATGTTTTGAGACTATAAAACAGAAATCAGGCTAAGAAATAGATCTTAGGAGTTGTTTCATATGTCAAAAACAAACTAAGGTGTATTCAATGGTTAGCTCAGCAGACTAAAGGACATTAATTTGTGTAAATATCTTCTTATATAATAGATTTTCCCCAAACTTAAACTGCAATCAGATAATGAATTACATAAGTCATAATTCAAGAAAAAATGAGGGTCACTGATTTCATTTCAAAGATAAATTGTGTGGAAAAATACTTTAATTTGAAACATGCAAGAGGCTTGACATTGTCTCCAGATTTGTAGGTTTCCATTGTTTCTAGTGTAGTGGCTATCGATTCAGGCTAAGAGATGCACTTTGTCCTATACAGGGTTACAAAGCAATCCAAAGAAATGTATTTTATCAAATGGCGAGATGTTCCATATAACCTGAGTACATGGGAAAACACAGAAGATCCTGTGAACTCTCAAATCAGGTTTGTGTATTTTTCTTTTCGGTTTGTGTTTTGTTGTCCAGAAAAGAAAAAAAATATATAACTGGGCTTTTATTACTGCATTACATTGTTCTCTAATGCCTTTTCTCTTCACCCAGTGTAGAATTCCTGAATGTTGTACAAAATAAAGTGATGAAAATTCTAGTGAACATTAATCTGTCTTGTGCAATGAAAAATGCAATAAAAAAAATCTTGAAAATTTTTTTTTTTGTTATTATTACTTGTAAATGTTAAGTTACAGCTTTAGGGTGTTTGATCTTTATAATGGTCAGTTATTTAGGTTACAATGCAACTTGTCTTTCTTTCAATTCAAAAAATGTACATTTGTCGTATTTCGTAGCAAGTGTGTACCTTATGTTTTAAGTGTAGGACCAATAATGTTTGTTTGAGTAAATAACAATTTCTTTTTGTTTCCAAAGTGATTTCAAGGACCACATAGCAAAATACAAAGAACTCAGGTGAGGTCTTACTCAACATTAATTTCATTACATATGCTTCCCTTGAAGCTATGAGGTTGAGTGGTCAGTGTATGATATGTGTCAGTGTACAGTGAGGATAGTAGACCCAATTCATTGCTTCCCAGTAGTGTTAGCCCAGATTCAGTTCTAGAGTTTGACATTGCGACAGGCTGTGTTGAGGCCTTCTTGTTCCGTGGGTCATTGTTCCAGTTTGTTCACTTTCTGCTTTATTCTCTTTCTGACTCCCTTCCTCCCATCCATTACTCCTTCAATGTGGATGTTTAAAAGCAAGGATGGTTCGTTGTTGTCTGTCTCATGGTCGTCTCTTTGTGTAATTCTATAGAGATGCTTATGAGAAGAAAAACAGCACCAGTAAGAAAAAGCCACACAAGCAAAAGAAAGTCAAGAAAGCAGCACCAATCGGTGATGTAAGTTTTGTTCACTTTTGTTCTCTGTATTAATTTAGCAGTGCTAATTCATAATTTGATGGCATTGGCATCTTAAAAAATAACCCTTTTAATCACATATTTAGACATCATATTCATTTTAAATTTAATTCAAGTAGCAGAGCATTACACTGTATTATAACTATCATTAACCTTCTTATGCTGTGTTCGAAAATTAAGATTGAAACATTTTAATATCAATTTGATATATTGTGAAGTGTAAATGGTAACATTTATTTATTTATTGATCAATACCAGCTTGATAACTCATTACATGTGTTAATATAATGATTATGAAATAATTAATTGTAAAATAATGATTCGTGTATAATAATTATTACTATGAAAAGTGAGACAGTGAAAATAAATGCAAACTTTAGAAGGTACTGACTAATATTTACTGTAACATTTCATGATTATGAAATAATGTATGAACTTACTGTTCACTGGAAATTTCATCTATTAATTGGTAACCTAAACATCAACTTGATGCATTCAAATTTAATTTTTGATTAATAATCTGTAAGATATTTTGATGTTTAGTACTTCAAAGCCTATGAGCAGTAAATGCTCTATTTACGCTATTAATTTGTACCAGACTGTCCTTACATTCCTGAAATTGTGAGTAATTTTTAAAAAGTGCCACCTTATCTTCTCCACTCATTTTATTTTGGTTCCCCTTAATTTGGGAGAAGAGAGTTTGATGGATGTCGCCTACAGGATAGTGAATCTTGTGAAATCTACTAGAGCGGCAATGGGTGACAAGCAAACTTTGAAGTCTCAGAGGAACATGTGCCTTTTTTACAAATCTTTCATTTACTCACTTCTCATGAAGAATTAGCAGATTTATTTTTAGGGGACTCAAGCAATGACAGCATCTTTGGTACTAAGGAAGAGATTTTATTGCCCATGCCCACCAAAATAAGTTGAACTTAGTCCTTTCACGTTGTTTTTTTGCAGAGTACAGCTAAGCAATATGCAAAGATTTTTAGAAAACAGCCCTAAGAAAATATGCACTCTGATTGGTTAAAAATCATGTTTCTATAACTCGATAGAAACACAGAACTAGCACGAGCTGTTGATGTGATGATGGCTCGGGTAAAGAGAATTTACATTTTGATGATAAAGTAAACAAGCTGTTTTTCTTTTTTTGTCGGGGTGTTCTCTAAAAGAAATAGAAAACATGTTCTTTGTGTTTCTATTGAGTTATAGAAACACTCGTGAAAGTTTGGGAAAACTCAAAAAAACTGTGGAAACACTCGCCTGTGGCTCATGTTCCCACAGCATTTCTCGTTCTCCCAAACTTCCACTTGTGTTTCTATAACTCGATAGAAACAAGGTACATGTTTTCTATTTCTTAAATAATGTAGAGTGTGCATAGTCATGGTCTGGGTTATTCTGACTTTACACCAGGATGCACATGGTGTAATGAAGAGGTGTTTGTTGCTTGGTGATTTCAGTGACAAAATCCACAAACTCACTCGTAGTTGATTCCCTACCTGCTGTCATAACTGTAATATTTATTATGAAATGTAGATATCTAGTTTTTGCTAATGATGATTTTGTGGCCTGTGTAGGATGAAGATCCTAATTCAGATTCTGAATCATCAAAGGTTGATAATGCAGATAAACCTGAAACCGATGTAAGAGGCTACAGTATAAATAGTAGACTTTAACTTTACAATAGATACTGCTAATTAAATGGCTCTAAACTGTAAAGATTTAGTCATACCATTAGAAGGTAATAAACCATAAATGACTACTTGCTTTCTTTTATCAGTGACTGCATGATTTTAAGTAAGAGTAAAATGAAGAAGTAAAAGATAAATACTTTTGGCAATAAACTATAGGAAAAGCTTCAATAAATTTTGCAGTTGATCAAGCTCCCAACATTTGCATAAGAATTGCAAAGTTCCTGCTAAAGCCAAATTCACTTTCCTTGCATCTGCTTTTAACAAATAGCTGTAAAAAACTGTGAGGAACTCATATTTCTTTCAAATCTAACCTTAAACGTTACCCCACAAATCAAAAGCTTTCATTATCCAGTTTGCATTTAAGATTTTTAAGTGAACCCTTAATCACGAACAGTATTGTAACTAAAGGACTGTGTTGGTATTTAAAATGCTTAAGAGTTAAAGTGCTATAATCTGCTGTAAATCATAATTTATTAGGTTCTTGACACTAGGTACATTTAACACTTTTGTAAGTTACAGTACCTTTTTTTGTCATTTCAACAGCCTCGTGATAAGTATGATGAGCAGCCAGACTACATAACAGCATGTGGTGGGAAGCTGCATGATTACCAATTGGAAGGATTAAACTGGTTACGGTTCTCCTGGGCCCAGGGTACAAACACTATCCTGGCTGATGAAATGGGTCTTGGCAAGACAATTCAGACTATAACCTTCTTGTACTCTATCTGGAAGGAGGTTAGTCAATAATTCATTTTATTAACTTTATAAACAAGGTACCAGTGTGCTCCCTGCATGTAAGTCTGAAGTGTAAGCAAACAAAAAGGGCCTGATCTGTGTTACATACAAATGTTACTTTAACTTGGAACTACTTCGTTCCTAGAGCTGCCTGTCCATCTTAGTCAGTAGGGCCTTGGCATAAGAAAGGGTGGCTTTGGAGAAACATGATTTTATGAGCTACACTGTAGGCTGGAGGTGCACCATCTATAGGTGCTGCATTGGAATGGTTTTCGATTGAGATCAATCAGTAGCTATTTTCAGGAAGGAAACCTGTATTGAATTAGGAAAATTCATAGTCCAAGAATCCAGCCATCAAATCATGTCTCCAGAACCACCTTTTCTTCATGCCAAGACCCCAGTGTCCAAGAGGGACAAGAAGCTCATGGGGACGACAATACAACCCCTTCGATTCACTGGAATTTGAGAGGGATTGTTCTACATGTAGTCTATATTTTACTCCATGCTCACAATCTGGGCCTTCACTAGTGCCAAGTTATAGTGGGGAAAATGCTGTTAAATATGCACTAGCAGGATACAAGAACATTATTAACAAATCAATTACTGTTGTCAATTTTGCTGCTTTTCCCAGGGTCACTCTCCAGGTCCGTTTTTAATCAGTGCTCCTTTGTCTACGATTATCAACTGGGAAAGAGAATTTGAATTTTGGGCTCCTGACATGTATGTGGTCACTTATGCTGGAGATAAAGTCTGCAGGGCAACCATCAGGTGTGTTTACACTTAGTTTGTCATCATGATGTTAAGTGCCCAGTCATACGTATGCATCTTAGATACTCATGATCTTTCTGACACCTAATTAATAATTGTGAAGTCAATCCTGTGATTAACAATGGCATACATGTAGCTCAACACTCGTCTTAAAATTTCATCATTGACAGGTTTTAATGAAGAACCGGCTATTTTTTCAGAGAAATTTGTAGCATGATCAAACTATAGGAAAGGGGAAATTAAATTCAAACAGATGGCAAAAAGTGGGGTAGTTTCCTGGCTATTGAATTAATTTGCAGTTCACTAATATTGGATGAGCAATACTTATTAGTGAAAATAGTTTGAGCAGAGTTGTTTGTCATGTTTGTAGAACTTATTAAATAACAGTATGACATTTTTTTCAGGAATAATGATTTTTCTTTCGATGAAGATTCTGTCAAGTCTGGTTTAAAACCTCATAAATTGAAGGTTCGTGTTAAAGCATTGAATCATTAATTCTAAAGCAGTTCTAATGGCAAGTTTAATATTATTGGGCCTTACAATGTATGGTTTTGCTAGTTAAGTAGTTTCATGAGCCCGGAGGGTGAGTTAAATGTAAATAAGCTTATTTGTACTCTACCTATTAGAGTTTGATAATAAATTAGGTCATGGTAACTTAAAATGTGGATTCTAGGCTTATTCCTTTTAGAGTTGTAAAACTGAAACTGTGCACTTTGTTTTGTAGAAGGACCACCCTGTCAAGTTCCAGGTGCTGTTGACGTCATATGAACTTGTTTCAATTGATATGACTACCCTGCAGTCCATTGACTGGGCTGTGCTGGTGGTAGATGAAGCTCACAGACTTAAGAATAAACAGTCTAAGGTGAGACCAGAAACACTCTGTTACAGTTAGTCAAATTATAACACTGTAATTGTGGCATTTTTAGCTGAACCTTTGAAATACCCTGGGCGTATTATGTTGGACCATTTTGTTCTGAAGACGTTTTATCATTAAGTTCTACAACATTACTTATGCAGACTCCCCTGGTTGTAGACAAATTGTCCCCTTTGAGAGGTGTCAGCTTGTGGAAGGTTTAAAATGTAGTGTTGGTATGTCACTGGGACTACAACTAAGTGTTCGCTTACAGGAGCTGTCTGCCCATGGGAGTGGGAGAGGACTGACTGTACATGCCTTTGTTACAATGTTCTGTGCTATTTTGTTTCTCATTAAATGATTTTTGTGTTTCAGTTTTTCAAGATTTTAAGTGAATATTCTATTGACTATAAGCTGCTGTTGACGGGAACCCCTCTACAAAATAACTTAGAAGAACTGTGGAACCTTCTTAACTTCTTGGATCCGAGAGAGTTTAGGTAGGTTTTTGACCTCTTTTCTATATGATAGAAAAGTGAACAATAATCAAATATTACATGGAAGTTCATTTAAATTAGCCAGCTTTTGCAGCTACATTCCTGACAAGGTCAGACATCTCTGAATTAGTAGGCTAGTAAGGAAAACCGCTTCCCTTAAAACCATACTTATTTATCATACTAAAGTGAGATACAAAGGTTCAGAAATTTTACTAGGCTTTTTCTGTATATGCTACAAAGGGCAGATAACAAATGCTGGCCAAGGTTGCCAAACACAACAAACAACAACATTAGTTTGTCTTCAAAGCATCAAAGAAATGCAAAAGTACACAAACATACTGTACACTCAGATCAACTCAAACCTGATACTACACTTTTTTGCTCTGAATTATTTGCAGAAACCAGAACAGTTTTCTGACAGAGTTTGAGGATGTTGCTAAAGAAGATCAAATCAAGAAGCTTCATGATATCCTGGGTCCTCACATGCTGCGTCGTCTGAAGGCAGATGTCTTGAAAGGAATTCCTTCCAAAAGTGAGCTCATTGTGAGAGTGGAGCTGAGTCCACAGCAAAAGTGAGTTAAAATTACTCCAGTCATCTTGGCTAATGTAAATCACTGAAAATGTCAACATTAAACAGTCATTCCCTCATTTGTCTATCTTTTCCAACATTTAGGTTAATGTTCATGTGTGTATTTGTGCATATAGCTTGATGTTATAGAATTGAAATCCTTGGATCCCTGCAACTTCTAGAAAGATTTGTAGAATCAGCACTTGGTTCCCCTGACTGCAAATCCAGTCAGGTTTGTGATTGTCACAATCCCATTGCTAGCAGCAGCCACTCTTATTTAGATTTAATTTTAGCTGATGAATTTTTTTTCCTTGACTTTTTCTTTTCAGGAAGTACTACAAGTACATTCTAACAAGAAACTTTGAGGCTCTCAATACTAAAGGATCTCACCAAGTGTCCCTATTGAATGTGATGATGGAGCTCAAGAAGTGCTGCAATCATCCTTACTTGTTCTCTTCTGCTGCACTGGTACATTTGATGCACTTCTTTTTCAGTTCCTGTTTCTGGGAATTGACTCACTCAACAGTTTCTATCACCAAAGTTGCTAAGCAGCACAGCATATCCTCATTGTGCCATGCTGGCTGACAATACTTGGAGTTATTGCACTTTTTACAGCTTGTATAATTACATGTATTATTGCCATCTTTGGATGCTTCCACAAAGATTGGCCTACGATTGGCTCTCAAATTGATTTAGGAGTCAGGTTATGAAGCGTAACACCACAGGACTTGAAAAAATATCATAAGCTTTCTCTTGGTAGCAAGCAACTCTTACATTTTGCTTGCTTGGAGCAGCTGTGTGCTTGCCTTGGTTTACCTTTTTGTTTTAGAATCATAATTTAGGCAGGAAATAGTTTGTTTGAGCTATTACTCATTGGGCAAGTATATGTAAGCATCATTTCTCTTTGAGCTACCATCCCTTAATTAAGTTAAAGCTAGCCTCTATCTTAAAAGTAGTTATCAAAGGAATTTTTTGTTTTGTGTCATCAGGAAGCCCCAAGAGGTGCCAATGGTAACTTTGATTCAGCAGCCTTGACCCGTGCCTCTGGTAAGCTAGTGCTGCTTGAAAAGATGTTGAAGAAATTACAAGAGGAGGGACATAGAGTGCTTATCTTTTCTCAGGTAAGAAAGAAAAAAACGATGTTCCAGAAGATAGTAATAAGTAAACTTTGGCCATTTCAAAGTTGCATTTTATGATAACTTAGGCAAATATTGCTCACTTCTTGCTTCCAAATGATGAAATTGCTTCCATTTGTAAGCCTCTGGTTGTTTAAATGTACAGAGAGTCTTGATCTTCTTAATGATGAGAGCTTGTCGTGTTAAACCTAACCTCGTGATGAAAGTGGACATACGGTAATTTATTTGCACTAGATGACAAGAATGTTGGACCTCTTAGAAGACTTCCTTGAGGGACATGGTTACAAATATGAGAGAATTGATGGAACCGTTAATGGATCAGCCAGACAGGAATGTATTGATAGGTTTAATGGTGAGTTGGCAGTTATTTTCATCCCTCTGTTGTTCCAAAGTTTCTATTCTGCAAATGGATATATGAAGGATCGTATGTTTGAACTGCCGAGAAAGATATGGAGACATAATTGTGACGTCTGAAAAAAATTCAGGCCTGAACGGGATTCGAACCCATGACCTCTGCGATACTGGTGTACTGCTTACAAACTGAGCTATCAAGCCAGCTGGGAGCTGGTCATGTTGTGAGTTCGTAATATACCTGTAGATGATAAAAATGCAAATGAATATATGAAAGATCATATAATTGAACTGCAGAGAAAGATATGAAGACATGATTGATCATCACAGTTATGCACACAACTTAAGCAGTTGTGGAATTAAAGCCTGAAAAAGTTCCATCATGCAACAGAGCTTGGGTCTTTTCTTAACAGTTGCTAAGCAAAAAGGTACAGAAATCTTAAAAACAAAAACTGCCCTGCACACACACAATTACCGCTGATCACAATAATTGTAATTGTTCCTGATTTGTCACATATTGAGGTAGTGACTGGATAAGGTAATCCTTAGTTTGTGAATCTAAGACCCAAAAGGCTCATGGCACTGGTATTTTATTCATGCTGTTTTCTTGTTTAGCTCCTGGTGCACAGACATTTTGTTTTTTGTTGTCCACTCGAGCTGGAGGTCTTGGTATCAACTTGGCTACTGCTGACACTGTGTTCATTTATGATTCTGATTGGAATCCACATAATGATATTCAGGTATGGAATGAAACTGTTATGAAGGTTGCAATACATGCTAGATTCACCTCTACCAATGAAACTAAAGATTTGTCCTAAACGTGGGTGTAAAGCCAAAATAAATTGAGGGATGACCACAGAAGTCAATTTGTTTTATGGTTAAGAGAAACTAGATATTCACACCAACATGGTAAACATGTTTAAAAGTGGTTTAACCAAACAAGGTTAAAAATTAGTTGCTCATACCCTACACATGCATCCCACAACATAACAAAGTAAGAATTTGTTTGATAAAAATATTTAAGTAAGGGGATTTGAAATTTGTCTTTTCAAAATGACTTCAAAGCGTAGTCGACTACTTGGAAAAAGCTAAACCCAGTTTAGCTAAACTGGTTAAGTTGGTATGTATGGGCAGTAGATGGTGTGCAAATCTTGCAAATTCATTCATGTATGTGATACAGTTCCTTTCCCACTTATCAGTACTTTGTTTTATTGTTTGACCTTAGGCATTCAGCAGAGCACATAGAATAGGCCAGAACAACAAGGTAAACCACTCTTTTATGTTTGCTTTTCTCCTGGAAACTGTGGGACGTTCTTTAATAGTGAACGGAATGAGCTTGGAATTGTCAAAAATGAAAAGGCTTATGTTAAGTAATTGCAAAGAGGAGAACTAGCTAAACCAGTGAAGCTGTTTTCCGTTTACTTTATAATAATGTTTTAAAAAGTATATCCGGCAGACAGGACGTTATAAATCATTTGTTCTTGGATTTATTTGACACCTCATCAGGTTTGTGGTCTTCACATTTTGTCTCTGATGGATGCGATATATTTTCTTTTAACTAAAACTATAAGTGGCAGAAGGATATGTCATTGTTTGCTTGACTCTTAAAAATATTTTGGAAAAAGAAAGTAGGTGTGAAAGGTAAACACTGCTGGGCTTTACTGGAGACAAATCCCAGTCGAGGTTTCCCTTACTTATTGGAGCACAAACACACCTTGTGTTGTTTTAAAACTTTTCTGTGTTCTTTTAGGTCATGATTTATCGTTTTGTCACAAGAGCCAGTGTCGAGGAGCGCATCACACAGGTAATGTTTCTCTTGATGTAAAGAATGAAATGATGGCGTTCATGAATCTCTTTAATAACCGTTCCTTGAACAATAAGTTGACTGACTGGGTTGTGAACCTAAGAATATTCGGTCAATGTTAAATTCATAAAAATTAAAGTTGCATTTCTCGGCAGGTTGCCAAGAAGAAAATGATGCTGACGCATCTTGTGGTAAGGCCCGGCCTGGGATCAAATAAAGCGGCTGTGATGTCCAAGAGTGAGCTGAATGACATTCTCAGATTTGGTACACAAGAACTTTTTAAGGATGACAATGCCAAGGATGGAGGTGAGACTTGTTCTTGTGGTTTGCAAGGGTTTCATTTGGCCTGCCATTTCTTTGTTTTAACATCACAGTGCACTCTGCTGTATGTAGTATGGTAGAACTCTGCAATGGAATACATTATTTTTGTTAGTTGATGCAAGATTACTTCAAATCGCATTTCCCATTCAATTTATAAACAAAATTTGAAGTTGTTTCTTCTGAAGTTTGCAAGATGAGCTTACTCGGGTGCTGTTTGGTTGTTGCATGATGTCTTTTTAGTTAATGCTTGTACTGGTATGCCGTGGTTGTCACGTGATGAAAAATTCCCAGAGGCCTTCTGTAAGTGACTTTGCACGTTGTTTCAGATTCTGGTGACTCGGGGCGTATTGATTATGATGAAAAGGCTGTGCTTTCGTTGTTGGATCGGACGAGCAGCCATGATGACGCACCTGATGAAGAAAAAGACATCATGGCCAATGAATATCTTGCTTCCTTCAAGGTAAGAACAAAAAAAAGTTCACATTTAATAGTCTTTCGGAATAAATATTGTACAGCAGCAGCTTGGGAAAATGATCTTCGCATGTCAAAAGAGAAAGAACAAGAGAACAGCATTTCTTATGCTGCGCTCTTGTAAGGACTTCTCTTACTCTGAGTGTTTGTATTGTTATTTTCATGAGTACAAACGCATTGTTCTGACATGCAATATTAAAATAATGAGTACACAGGGCCTGTAACCTTAGCATTAGGCTAACAGGGTAGTATATCACTCAAACAGTATTATTCAAGTTATAAGCATGTTAATAGTGACTTGTCCACTATTCAGTGTGTGGTCAAGATATGATCAAGACACTTCATTCAAACATGCAAACATTAACACGATATCGAACCAGCCGCATGGCCTACAGACTTACTGTTAGACTGTGTGGTAGTATAAGTTCACACAGTTAATCACTTTAGTAAGTGATCAACCTCTTGTTTTTCCTGACGATATCATTACAGTGTCAAGCAGACAGGTGGTGGGAAGAAAGAAAATCTTCACTAAGACTGCGGTTAATACACTCTTTAGCATGTATTAAATTGAGACAAAGTCGCAATGCCCCACAAGTAGCTTACGATATGCTAAGCTCCTTCAATGGCAAGATCAGAATGTTAAATCTCCTCACTGATCGCCATGTATGTCTGTCAGTGCTAGTTTGGAGAATCTAGTTGTACAGTAAGTAAGACAACATCCTAGTCCTTCAATTAATGGACTGTGACTAAATACTGGAATTGATTTCGTAAACTGATTCCCATCAAATATAAGTTGGAATCATGATGATTTTGAAATTCCCTGAACTTTTCAGCTGTCAGCCACTTAAAAGTATATGAAATTTTCTGTATCAGGTGGCAAGCTACGTGGTGAAGCAGAAGGATGAAGATGTTGAAGTCCTCAAGGTTTGTGTCTTATTCCCATTTAACGGATCAGAAGCTTTTCTTGTGTTTCCATGGACTGTTCAGCCTTAGAACCTTGTGTATTTGAAAAAAAAAAAAAGAATGACAAGTAAAAAATGCTTTGCATCCAGGGTATGCAGTATTGCTACCACTTTTTAATCTTTTCTGTCAACTTTCTTCGTTAACAGCAAGACGCAGAGACTGCCGACCCTGACTACTGGGAGAAACTTCTTCGTCATCACTATGAGCAGTTCCAAGAAGATGAAGCAAGACATCTTGGAAAGGGGAAGAGAATCAGAAAACAGGTAACTTCTAGAGGATTTTGAGAGGCTCCAATCTTGTGTGAAGGAACAGTGACCTAATGGTTGGGTCCCAGCTTGTTCAGGGTCGTTGTGTTGTCATTGTTGCTTTTGTTTTTGGAAAGACACTTGGTTATCACAGTGCTTGTCTCCTCGTTACTCCCGCATTGATAGAGCTTGCAACTGCAAGAAAATCGTAGAAAGTGTAACATTTGCTCTATTCCTTTAGTGTTTGCTCACGCTTTGACTCACAAATGTTTCGTTTGCAGGTCAGCTATGTGGACGGAGGCATGGAAGATCAGGAAGAATCAGGTAATATGAAACATGTGTGCTTATTCCTAAAGTTAGTGAAACCCGGCGTGCAATAAATGGAAAGACAAGGGCAGTTCCCCAGTCTTAACCACTCATATCCAAGTGTAAACTACTTGTTGTCGCCTCTTTCGTGTCTCTCAACGTAACCATTCAATTATTTCGAATTACACTGTAAAATGGTTTCAAATAAGAAGAACCGATTACATTCCCCCTTAAAATGAGAACAAGGAAAAAAGATTCAACATCTTTCTGCATAAAATATTGAGTATTACCATTGTTTAATGTTTGTTGCGGCTAAACGTAACGAGCTCAGGCACATTTCAACCAATGGCTTATCTTTAGTGAGCGACAGTACGTTTTGTGTTTGTAGCTTGGACCAATAATCTGTCAGACTACGAAGACGATGGGTACAGTGATGTTGATGAGGAGGAATCTGATGAAGAATTCAACCAGAAAACTGAAGGTAACGCGCATCCATACAGATGTTGTTCATTTGTTGTTTTACTGCTGATTCTCACCGTGTAGTTTCCACTGCAGGTCGTCAACGAAGGGGTGGTCGAGGCGCTTCTGATAGGGATGTTACTCCTCCTCTTCTGGCAAAGGTTCAAGGCAACTTGGAGGTATAGTGTCAAATTTGTCAATTGCCTGAGGGATCGGTTCTTTTAAGGGTAGCTTGTTAAACAAATTTTGACGGATTTCTTCTTTAAGGGGAATCCATTGAAATATGCTTCATTTGTTACAGAATATTGATTGTTTGAGAGAATATCGAGCCAGTTAATTTTCGGTTTCAACTCAGTGTCACTATCTGGTCGTCAACACTTGATTGTTGCTTTTGTGGAGTATCCCTAGCCCTTGGCCAAAGCAATTCAACAACATACGTTCCGTTTACATTATCAACTCTAAGACTGATGATGAACCAAGCCAGAAAATGTCAAACCATCAAGCCATCAATTAAAGAAGCCATTTAAGTGGTGTGTTGTGTATCATAAAAGTCCTTTTCATTCCTAACTATTTCTAACTTACGTTCACTATCATCTTACTGATAAGGTCATGCAATTATTTGTTCAGGTGTATGGCTTCAACCTGCGACAGCGGAAGGCATTCCTGAATGCAGTCATGAGATATGGTTTGCCCTCTCCTAAGGGTTCTCGTAGATCCCAATGGTAGGACGTACTTTTGAATAAATACCTTTCCTGTTTTATTATTACTAAAACCTTCATTGGAGCTCTTTGTTAGCTTCGTGATTTTTTTCCCCTTAAGAAGAAGACATTTGTTGGTATTTTCCTGAGTTTAACTTTGTTCTTTCCTAGGTTTGCGAGAGATCTCCGCGGAAAATCAGAGAAAGCATTTCAGTGAGTAAAGCATGTTCGTTTAAGTCTCTACCTCGTGTAAGCGAAGGCGTTAAACCGTTCTCAATTTTCCTCAAACCTGCCAACTTCCAGTCCAGATTGCAAGGTCTTTTACTATCACCACAACATTTTGGTCACAGGGTGACTATATATGTCTAGGTCTCTTTTCTGTTTGTTAAAATGCAACCTATTGTGTCATTGTTCTGCAGGGCGTATGTGGCCATGTTTCTGCGTCACCTGTGTGAGCCTGGTACGGACAACAGAGAGACGTTTAATGACGGAGTGCCTCGTGAAGGAATACAGAGAACACAAGTACTGACCAGGATCGGCATCATGAGCCTTATAAGGAAGAAGGTATGCGCCATCTACCAATCCTAACTTACGTTCTGGGCCGGGTCGTTCAGAGCCCGATTAAGCTAACCCAGGATTAGCGAGAATTTTGATGTCAGTTTTGCAATTTTTTTTAACCCAACCATTGTTTTACGTGTTTTTTATACGCTAATTTGTTCAAACAACGAGAAATATTAACCTATAACTGAGACAGTGAAATAAACACACACCGTTGGCTCCCCAAAACAACTTCCTTCTAATCATCACGAGAATGGTTAAATGAAACATTCGCGAAGAGTAAAAATATTTTTGCATGTCTAGTATTACTTGGAAATCAAGCTTCAAAATCGTTATTGCTAAAATTGCGCTCTGTTCGGTATGTACGCAAGGAAGGATGAATGTATCTTAACACGTGTTGAGTCAGTTTAAACTACGTATGTGCCTTCTGAATGGTGTTATTGACACAGCAGACGTGATGAAGAAAAGTGGTGAAAGTGCCAGAAAAATGTTTTAATCTAGTTTTTTTCCGATACTAAAGCGAGCCTGTATGTGTAGGCTTGGCCTTTTCAAGTTTTGTTCATATTGCAAACCGTTTCCATCGTCACTATCGTTCACCATCCTCACTTCGTTACTGACTTATGTTCTTGGTTTCTCGAAGATCTCGTCTGTTCTCGAGCTTTTCGACACGATGATCAGAATAGATGAAAATATCCTTTGATAATTGCTTCTGTTTTGTCATGTGTGTCGACAGGTGGAAGAGTTTGCTCATATCAATGGCTGGGAAGCTTATCCCGAGGAAGACAGTTTGACAGACAAGCCGTCAAGTAAGACATCATCACGTGTATCCACGCCTGTAGCGGAAGTCGACAGCAAGAAGGCTGAACCGGAAGTGGTAAAAACGGAGACAAAACCAGAAAAGAAAGACCAGGCCGAAGAAATCAAACCCGAGCCGATGGAGGTCGACAAAGATGAAGCAGGTATGAAGTATGGAGAGAAATTCAAACCTATAGCTTAGGCAGGTTATTTAGATAATGCTAAGTTACTAACTTCTTGTATCTTCTTGCATCTAAAGTTAAAACAAGCGACAAAGAAGACAAAGATGCTGTGAAACAAGAAAATGGCGAAGCAGCAAGCGTTACCCCAGATAAAAGTGAAGATGGCAAAGATGCAGTGGATGAAGATAAACAGGACCAAACTGACGGTAGTTAGTTTTAAAGCAGTAGTCAGTTTATCTTGGAAATTCATCACAAAGGAATTCACTTGTCGACTTTGACTATGTTTCACCACTAAAGCGAGCATTCTTGATATTGTCTCGAGACCTTTGTCATTAAAGTGTTAAGCATAAGATGTGGTGTTTCACAAAATATATGTTTAAAGAAATCTTCAATTGTAGTGTAAGACTGTGGCATTAACGAATCTTAAAATCCATTTTCGCTTTCCTTTGAAAATTTTTGGTTTGAGGAGATAATCAAGAGCGTGCGCTTATTTTGAATTGTACATGTTCATGTAGAGGGGCCGCCATTTCGGCTCTTGGGTAAATGTATGCTAATCTATCTATATCATTTGATAGGTGATTCTAACACGGAAAAAGAGTCTAAAATGGAGGTGGACCCGCCCAGCGTGAACGAGGCAAGCCCAAAAGACCGGGATGAAAGCGAAATATCTGACAAAACAGAGCCCATGGACAATCAGGAAAAAGGAGAAACGGCAGCTGAAGATGGCAAACATGCTGAACAAAAGGAAGTCAGTGGTGACAGTGATGAAAAGGTTGATAAAACCGGTGACTCTGATAAAACTTTGGACCAAAACAATGTTGATTCTGGTGAAAAGAATGATGACAATAATGTTGCTTCTGATGAAAAGAGAGATGATAGTGAAGCGAAAGTCGACGAGGGTGAGGAAGAGACCAAAACAGAATCGGGAGAATCTAAAGGTGATATTGAAAAGGATTCATCGGACAAGAAGGAAAAAGGTGAAAAGCCAGAGACGGTTAAGGAAGTTGAAAATCCCTCCGAAAAGGCTTCAGAGCCAATGGAGACGGATGACACATCGGACAAACCAACGGAGCCACTTGAGGAGAGCGAGAAGAAATCCGAAAAATCCGAATCTGATGAAGGTAGCGAAAAGCCTTCTGAGAAAACGGACTCTAATCAAAAGCAGGAGAAAAATAGCGAGACAGTTGAATCGGATCAGAAGACAACAGAGAAAACATCAGAAAAGTCTGAAGAGGTTCCAAAAACGGAGCAATCTGAGGTGAAATCTGACACTGCCACGACTCAAAAATCAGAGAAATCCCCCGACAAGACGACTGTGACTTACAAGGCTGGCAGCAGTGTGCTTGGAGATCGGCGTCGATTCATGTTTAACATTGCTGATGGAGGGTTCACGGAGCTACACACGCTGTGGGAGGTGGAGGAGAAGAGAAAGTGTGACGACATCTGGTGGAGATGCCATGATTACTGGCTGCTAGCGGGAGTTGTCACGTATCCTCAGCAAACATACGTAGTTATCTGGAGGGGGGTGTGGCTATAGCATGAGAAACGTGCCAGTATTCACCTCCTTCACTCCGAAGGGAAACCATAACAGGTTGATAGTGTAGGTGTGTGGGATGGGTATGGTATGTGTGATTGGCGAAGTTAGGTGAGGGGCTAATCAGAGAGAGATCTGTGTATACTGTATTACTGCGTCGTCGCATCTCTCATTCCGTTCTTGGGGGCAGCCTGGATGAGATAGCTGTAGTTTTAGCTTGGTTTAGGTTAAGTACATGTATGTGGCAAAGTATCATAAAACGTAAACTTGGGTACCTTGGGATGTGAGGCCTTGTGTGACACCAATCATCGAATCAAAAGATGATAAGTAAAGGTGACAGTGAGCTCGGGATGTAGTCAGGAGCCATTGGTATTTGCCTAGTTACAAATCTAACTCATAACAAACTATTTTCAAGCTATCCGTCAGTAGGGTTGACTTCACGAATTAGTCATTCTTAAAATACAAATACCACAAAAACCAACTTCGTAAACGGAAACCTGTATCGTGTGTCGTTTTATGTTGTGATAATTTGATTAATTTATTTTGAACCTCTCCTTGACTGCCTATTACTCTGTTAGTCACGGTTATGGTCGGTGGCAGGACATTGCTAATGATCGCAAGTTTTCAGTGGTTAACGAGCCTTTCAAGAATGGTAAGTTGTTACACTAGCCTCTGTTAATAATTAGTAGTTTTGGCTTGGTTTGCTAGTAAAAGTTCACGATCCAATCCGAGAATGACGATGTAAAACTGACGGGATGAGCTTGTTTATATCCCAGTTGAAACTTGATAGGCAGCCAGCAAGAGCACGCGGTTTACTTTTACAAAAATTAAATCATAATACGAATTGCATGAATGAATATCATCATCATCATTTCTCTTCGCGCCAGTAGGCGCATAAGGCCGTCACGCTTTCCGACCAACACTCCCTGTTCCATGCCACCGCTTTGGCTACTTCCCAGCTCTTCCACCCCGCCTTGTTTCTTTCCTTCTCCACCGTCCTTCTCCAAGTTGTCTTTGGCCTCCCTCTCGCTG